TAAGGGCTCGTTACTCGGATACTATGACAGCCTAACATGTGCAGAATCGAGAAAAAAATATAAAGCGACGTTGGGGTATTTAGAATCCCGTTAACAGAACAAAATTCTAAGAAATGAGTGGCTCGATAACAGACGAACCGCTGTCGATCTCATACAACCCAGGTAACCCACGTTCCAATTTCCGATTCAGAATTTCAGAGTTGCCCTAACGCAGCGTGAGGTAATGAACAATCAGGATTGTCGGGTATTCACTAAGCTACTGACGCAGGTGGAAAGAACGAAGGGTCTTATAAGAAGGTCGTTCAGATATCTAGACGGTCCGTCCCTCGTGACGATCTTCAGGAGTGAAGTGCTTCCCCATCTGGAGTACTGTCACCCCATCTGGTCCCCGAGATATGCTAGGGACTGTCAGTTGGTTGAAAATGTTCAAAGGAGGGCCACCAAACTGGTGCCTGCACTTCGGCACCTCAGCTACCCTGAGAGATTGGAGCGCCTGAACTTGCCTAGCTTATACTACAGACGGGCAAGGGGGACCTAGTTGAGGTGAATAAGCATCTCAGGGGGCACTACTCAGTTGAGTGTCCTTATTTGGAGCTGGCGGACGCTCGCTCCACAAGGGGTCACAGCTCAAGATTGAAGAAGCCACAAGTCCAGAAAACCGTGAGGGCAAACTTTTTCGGTGAGGGTTGTAAACTCTTGGAACAATCTACCAGAGAGTGTTGTGACGGCACCGAGTGTGAGCTCTTTCAAGAGAAGACTTGACCAACACTGGAGCGGGTTCAGGTACATTCAGGAGCCGGTGCATGCCCAGTATTTGCCAACAGTGCGTGACAGAGACGTGACCGATCGCCCGGGCGGCTAGCGAGCCGATCAGTGGCGAAGAGGATAAAAGTAAAAGAAAGTCAAATGTTTATGCTCGGCTGCCTACAGTAAACAATTGATAGTATTACTCTACTTTCTGCTGCCAGTGTTAGATGTTAATATTCAATCAAAATGGCAGTAGTCTGAGTTGCATTTATCGAGCATAATATATTTCCTCGTTGAACTTCACTGTCTTAGGCCCCATTCACACTATGCGGTTCTTCGCCGCACCTAGATGCGGTCGCCGCACCGGAGAGACCACGGTTTTCTGCCGCACATTCGTCCGGCTGCTGCGTACAGCGACGCAACTTTGGACTCTTGTCTACAGTTTGCAGCGTATGGGCGCAGTACCGGACAAGTCCAGTGGAACGTCGCACATGCAATCCGGCGTCGGAACAGCGAATTCGCCGCAACCGTATAGTGTGAAGAGGTACCTCAGAACTATCAGTCGACTGCTAGGTCCGGCACCGCACCGCATCTAGATGCGGCGAGAAACCGCTTAGTGTGAAAGGGGCCTTAAGCACGTTAAATTGGTAACACTAATTTAGTCCAAAGTGATCTAATCTAATCGTAGGTGCTGTGCATATCGCTGCCTGGCACAATCATATCAATTCAAGTTCAATAAAACATCGGTTTAGATAAATGGAAAGAAAAATCCGTTCGGGACAACATTGATATTATGCTCGATGAAATGATAAAATAGTTTAAATTTTAGCCAATTAAAACTCCATGAGCAAGACTCATCAAGCGTTCACCAAGTCCATGAATGCTCTCTGTTGCGGATAGTAGAATGTGCTTGAGTTGACCCCCAACCCATCCCTGCGCCAATGGAACCCTTATATCCTCCTCCCCCACCCAGGTCTCGTCTTACACACTTCCCATGATATTCAGGTTTTTGCACTTTCGTGTGGTCATGTTGTTCACACGGTGGAAATCACATGTTTTAAATATTTTACTACTACTTCAAATATCGCAGTCTTTTGAGTTATATTGTTTAATATATTATAGTTAACATTTCGTTTCGCGGAAAGCGGGACAAGATGTCATAATTTTTAATATCTCAGCCATACAAAGTCTGCAGTACTTACAAATGCTAACGACAACTCATCTCTCCCTTAGAATACTCAAAAGCTTTTCTTATTTTTTAATTTGATTGAACTAACAAGGGTTATGAAATTTAAAACCAACTTTGGCAATGCTAAAAAAGACTGCATTTGTAGTTTTTTGTGCCTGATTCCACAGGGTGGACAGTATGCCTGCGTCTACAGGCTGGAGTCGTGGTGCGCAGTAAGCCAGCGTCTACACTCTACAGGATTGAGTTGTGGTGCGCAATAAGCCAGCGTCTACAGGATGGAGTTGTGCGCAGTAAGCCAGCGTTTACAGGAGGAACTCGGGAACATTAAGCCAGGTGGATTTTTGAACAATAAGCCAGTGTCTACAGGATGGAGTTGTGGTGCGCAATAAGCCTGCAGTGTCTTCAGTATGGACTTAGTGAACAGTGAGCAAGCAGCTCCCAGGCAACATTTAAACTTTTTATGACCTTCGTGAAACTAGTTATGAAAGAAGTAACCACTAATTAGTTACTGAGTGTATGACGCGCTGGGTATAAGGATGGAGGGAGAAACCTACAGTGTGATGAGTGGGTCAAGAAGAGAAAATAATCCTAGAGGGTCGACAGTCAGTCAGTCAAGAAAAGCGTTCATGGAGCTGGTAACGCACCTAAAAATAATTTGTTAGATAGCAAAGGTGATTAAAGAATTCTCAATTGTTTAGATCTGATAAGACGAGAAATAATTATCTTGGCGAGTCAGTCAAAGAAGGGATAGAGACATAGAGTAGAGCTGCTAAATCCAGATAAAATTTTAGTTTGTCCGAGAGGCAGATCGAGCTGTCATTGTTTATACGTCATTTGCTTAATGGAACAATATGTCCTTTTAGGATTATAAACTGTATCTATCACAACACGCAAATTTTAAGTTACTCTATCCGTAACTAAGATGTGTCCTAACTTTATGATACTGTATAGTGATTACACCTATTCAAGGTATTTCTTCAGCTGCTAGGTGCATTAGGTAAGGTTATCCTTGTTAGGGCACTTAATCACGAGTGAGCAGGATTGCAGAGGAATCACGGGATCAGCAGATACTATGATGCCTGGTTTCAGGTATATCATTTGTGGATAATTTATATGTTGTATTCCTATACATATTAAGTGGAACAGTCGACAAGAAGGGCGACACACATAGCAGTGTAACGTAGCACAAGGTGTCTCTTCTCCCTGTGGGTCACGTTTTGTGTTAACCTCCCACTGTTGTGGTGTACGATGCTTCTTGTGTGTGCGCACACAACAGTATGAACTATATGAGTACACTTGTACGAACAGTTTACCATGCACACCTTGATACATGGAGTTTGGAAATGTTTTCTAATCACATTTTCACTAATACCATAAGCTTGTTTTCAGCGTAATAATGCTTTGACGATAATTACTTGTTAGTGTGAGCACCGTTATGACCGTAGGGCAGATTGCTCCTCCATGTCCTGGCACTGACTACGCAACAGAGCTGGGGGAAGAGTGCTGCCACCTTTCGTTGATAAGGATACAATTGAATTCTTAATCTGAAATAGGAACAAAAATAGGTAATGATAGAGAGAGCGGCAAGAGGACTGTGGTATATTTTTCACAATTAAGTACGATTAAAATCATAAAAGAAAACTTTTGTCACGACAGCTAGTGAAGGAAATTTATTATTTAATGAGTCTTTAGTCATAAGGATTTGTTAAAAAGAAAGCATAATACATAGTATAATGATATTTAATGAAATTCTCCTAATTCAATTGCAATTTTAACCTGTACATACACGCATGCATATTGCATACATCTATATAACTACAGTGTACTGTATAATTATGGAATGTTTCGACCAAACAGAGAGTTCTATCTCACAATTTATATTTTTTCATAGACGTGTTTATTTATTAACCTTGTTGTGTATTTAAAAATCTTAATTGTTGTTGAAGATCAGGAATGCATTATAGCATCAACATAATCACAGTCACGTTGACCTGGATAGGAGAGATAAGGGAACAGCCCCGGTATAACGTTCTAGGTCAGATGCTCGACTTCTTTTAAACATACAAACTTCTAATGAGGGTAATTTTCTCTAAAACAAGGCGTTTACTGAATTTACATTTTCCCATATAATTTTATCTACAATATCTGATCACAGTTTCCGAGAGTCAGAGTCTTTCTGGAATGTGGTGGCCAAGTAGATACAGTACTCGTCTCCTGCCCTAAGAATCGCAAATTCGCACTCGGGACATCCTCAGTCCACCCAGCTATGAATGGATAACTAAATTTACAGATGGGGAAGTGAAAGCGGTAGAGTGCAGTGCCGACCACACTGCCTCTACATGTCTACAGTATATACTGTATACGAGAAGGCTTTAGTGTACAGTATGCTGTAACAACAATGCTCCTAGCAGACAGTCAGAGCTATGAGACCCATTTTTCACTTTCATATCCCATTCATGTCTTCATGATAAATGTTTCTTCTGGCAGTTTATAACATTTCTAAAAACATAGCTGAAATGGCACCAACAACAAAGGTACAAAAATTATCTGTGAGCAATAGTGTCTCAGTATGTCGCGGTATGTCACTTTATCCCAGTCAAAATAACAAATTTACTTAATTATTCACAAACGAGGGGGAAAACCGGTTATAAATTAACATTTTGTTAAAGTTAATTAAGACACTAGAATATAGAAAGCCAAGTTAACCTCATTTATATTTAAAATGACCTTTAGTACTACACAACTAAAAATTACCCAGTAAGATCAAATTTACATACAGAGAAGGTCATTTAGAAACTCCCTTTATTGTCTTAGCCATATTTACGACTTTCATAAACACATTTCACTTGGTAAAATCCATTGACTTTTATCACTGTGCTGACGACGTGTAGTGTGAGACATGTCTTTATATAAATACGAAACGATTATCAATCACTGGGCATTCGGTCTTGACACTTATATGCTGTGACCCCCCAAGTGGGAGCTACGGCACAACCTTCGCGAGACACCATGTGTGGCCTCGTATCTGGAGGCTGTGTTGAAGGTTTAGGAGTCCTGCTGGTGTTGATGGTGCTAGGGAGGATTCACTCATCTTGCGGCTCCTGGTGGAGGTGGTACTCGTTGACCAGTTAGGCGTGTGATCCAAGATTTACCCTGCACTGGTAAGTTGACTACTATGCTGATGTTTTGGTGTTCCTTGGAGTACAGTATGTGTTTTACAGAGAGGAACCCAAAATGCTGTTTAAGAAGTGTTGCAAATGAAGAGAGGTCAGTATGCTTCCATTCATTGTTTTGTCTCCTTAATTATGAGCAATATTTCGTCAGGAATAGGACAGCGGTGGACTCTTACTACTCATGTGATGATCTAGCTAACTGAATATAGGTAGCTGATTAAAAAACTTGCAAGAAGTGTGAAGTATGAAAAGAAATACTGGTATACCTTGTTCATCTTCGAGGCTTGGTGTAACTCTTCCACCCTGCAGAGTTGAGAATGAAGTGTAGTTAATAGACAAACAGACAGACAGTCAGGTCCATCCAGTGTCTTGTCTTGAGTTTTTCTATGTAGGGCGGAGCATATTCCACCTGATGATTTAATCACCCTAACGCTACCGGGGGGTTAGGTTACCATTAGGATGTTTGCGAAATAAACTGAGGGTGTTAATCTTGGTGTGATTCTATTTTTCTTTATTAACTACAGAAAATATCGAGGCATAAAGATAGTTTCAGAGGGAATGATTTTTTATTCAATTTGTAGCAGACAACGGCTTGTTTATTGTACACCCCATACTAATCCTGTGAGCTCATATAGCCATGTATATACATATAGGAATTGACTTATTCAGACCTGCGTGAGTGGCTTTCTGCAGTTTGAGGCCATATATTTGAATTCAAGTACATTGTGTTTTTAGTTCTATAATGTACGTGGGGAGTCCTCCTGGCTTGGGTATGTCGGTGTATAGGTCTTATTAATCGTATACTGTACATACTATTACCATCTACAACAAGAGAGTGAAGGTAATTACTCCCCACAGTTGTATTACAGTAGTGCTCCATCAACTAGTTAACGGGTCTGTCACCGGCCTTGCCCTTGTCGGATCTGCATAGCATGAGTGGGTTCCACTGACTCATGTGATAGCAAACGAGAAGCGTCTCAACACAGCCTTGTTCACAGAGATGACTCACCTCACCCAGGCTCAAGAGTTCAGTGTAGTGTCCTTTAGTACATGTACTCGTTATCTCTACAACCTGTAGATAATATTTGCACTTGTTTTGCTACGAGGATATAATAGTTTTTATGAAGAACTAACCAAACTAAACCTAATCTATCCTATAGCCTACCCTAATCAAAACTAGTTAAAACCAAAACTTAACTAAACCAAACCAAACCTAATCTAGTCAAACCTAACCTAGCCTAACCAAACCAAATCTAACCTAAAGTTCATATTTTAACGTTCAAAATACAAGGCAGTGGGTTTGTATTTGTTTATAGAATGACCAGCAAGAATTAGTAACACGAGAACCCACCGTCTTGGCAAAATTCGACCTCAAGTTACCACAAGTTGCTCCCCATTTACTTAAACTAAATATATTCTAATTGACCAATATTAACACGAAGAAAACCTGACAAGTTCATCTTACTATACGTTGAATGTGAACAATTAACTTACGGATTGGATTAGGCGGTTAATAGGCTACTATGAGTTTAACTTACAGGCTATATGAGGAAGTTAACAGACAGGCTATGTGATTTAACAGACAGACTACATTAGGTGCTACTATAGTGTACAGTTTACAAGATATTATAGTTAGGTTAGAGTCAAGATATCTTTGTAGATCGCACGCTATAGTAGCACACTACATTAGATTGACAAACAGGGTACACGATATTAATGCACACACCCACACTGCGTTATATATTGATAACATCGAAATGACAAACTATTTTATTCACGGTGCAATCAACAATAAGTTAACAATAGCATTCTTTTCTTAGATAATAATAGTTGGAGGTGATATAATGGTCTTTTTTCGATTAGTTTTGCCCAACTTTCAAAAGTAAGTCTTCGCTGCTCTAGAAAACCTTTCTTGATAATCGGCAACCCATACGAGAAGGTTTTATGAACTGTAGACAATGATCGTTAAGTATAAGTACTGTGCAGTGTTGTGGTTCGTCATGCTACTGTCGACGCCTGCTAGCACACTACGTCGAATTAAAAAGTACAGCATCAGTACTAAACTACGTTATATAAGACGGAATTATCTAAAGTTGGTTACTGGCAGAACTCACCGGGTAGAAACAGCTTTTATTATTCCTTCATTCGAGATAACAGATAATTATGAGGAAAAACGGTCCGTGATAAAGTCCTTAACTATTATTCTTAATCTAATTGGACAATATGGATACAATGTGCTCTATACTCTAGCCTTTGTTACGTAAAGAAGCAGCGTGGTCGCCAGTGTCCTCGACAGTTTTTTTCCCTGACTGTAGAGTTAAGTACCCATTTACAGCTAAGTGGAATGCCCCAGGATCGCTTCAGCGACTTAGGAGAGGCGAGCGCTGTACCCACTCGGCCGCCATATCACATTCAACCTAATTCGACGAGGTCAAGGATTCTGAACTGTAGTACAGAATTCTTGACTAGACTAAAGCGTCATACTTGAGGTGTCCGGTCTCCAGGCGCTCCTTGAGCTTCACGAAAGAAATAATTTGATAAACAAAACATTAACCGTCTCAAACCGTAACACTATTTTTATGACAGCAATTATCTAGTAAAGTAGGTCACTGCATAAGGTATCCTGTTGTCTCAGTCTCAACCCCCCCCCTTGGCCTTGTCCTTGGTGAGAGCACTTGTCTGGCGTTGTAGAAAACGGTTACTACGCTAAGGTTCCATCCTTAACCCCCTTCACTACGGGGCACCACTGTTAATAGTTTATTTGACTAACGCCAGACGATTTTATTTAGTACAGAAAGATCCCTCGTAGCTCGTATCTAAATTACCCCCACTAATTGTACGTGACCTCAGTAGTTGAAAAAAAAATAATTGGATCCCGGATCTTTAAAACAATCACATTTCGCTATTAAAAAAATATGTGTTGCTAATATCAATAAAAGAAAAACCTTTTGAAGTCTAAGGATTTAATTTCGTTAGTAGTATTGGTATACTGGTATGTGTCTATGGAATAATCTACCACTTTCAGTAAACAATATCAAACTAAAGATTTGTTTAAAAATCATGCTAAATAATGTCTATGGCGTAAGCTATGTGCTCAAAATTCAAATGTGTGTATCCTATTTCATATTGGTGCCAGCAGTCATTTTGAACCATATATCGAGGACCTCATTAGGAATAAGTATTACGTTACATTTAGGTTAAATGTGTATGCAAGGTAATGTATGAAATTTTTCTCATTAAATTCAAATCAAATCAATCTGCAGAAACATCCCGAGGCTAGGAGCGTGTTGGATGTTATTTTGAACGCTAAACTTGTACAATTTCCGCAAGATGATCGATTATGATGAGGATGTTATTAAATTCTAATGTAACTACGTACAGCAATGTTTAGTTTAAGGCAACACCACCTTTATATCATTGTTACCACACTAAAATCACTATTTTCACTGATATTCCGTACCTAAACATGTGCACTACCTGATTCACCTATTCTATTGGGTATACATTTGATGATTTAAATTATTCTATAAAAAAATTAAGTTAATACGAGTGCAGGGTTGGATGAAAGTCCCGGTGTTGTCTTGAGAGAGAGAGAGAGTCTGAGGCTGGTCTAGCTTGTCATTTTCATCTGGTCCTTCATTGAGAGGGGACAAGAGACAGACTTTTTTATTTTTTTTTATTGGGAATTCATAACATGTCTAGTTTAATAAAATACAGTATGGGTATGAACAACAATTACCAGTAAATACTTATCATATATTACATATAATAGTACTCTAAGGAGAACACAAAAAGAGTTTTTAGATTGCCCCCGAGGGGGCTAGTTTATTGGGCACCCCATTACATCCTGTGCAAGGTGAAGCGCTGGAGCGTTTACAGAGCCCATCTGGGAAGCATGCGGAGTTCATGCTTGCCTTTATGACTCATGCATTAAGGGCGTAAAAGCCTGAAGGGTCTGGGTTTTGTCAGCAAGTTACATACAGTGACAGAATGAGTGTGTGGGGGGAAAATTCCCGGTACAATTTATCTGTTTATGACAGAGTCAGAAGTACTGGCAATACATTGACCTTAAACATGACCCTGGCGTTGCAGCCCTCTCGCGTGGCGAGTAAAAACCTGCCATCTGGTGCAGTTATCCATCGTTGCTGTCAAAACAATTTGCGTAAACATAGAGTGGTTGTCTGGTCGCGATGTCCTCAGATATGAAGCTCGACGTCAACATTTAATATCACAGTACTGAAGTTGGTGTATTAATTCTCTTGAAACTTAAGACATGATCAGATTTAATTTACATGATTCAGCTGCATTTACGATTATTTATAAGAATTTATATTATGTATTCAAGCTATCGTCATACATTCTTGAATATGTGAAAGTAATCTCCTTTTTAGAGTGTAATAAATCTCCAGACCATATTATATAAATCTGTAATCAATTCTTCGGAATATGAATAGCCATACGCTCCGCATTTCCTTCAGACAATTATTCTTCAAAGCAAAATCCTATTCTCCCAATATGCCTCATCCTTCAATTTTTTTTAACGTGTCCTTGTTCTAGGGTGCTTCGGTAAATGCTTATTATTAAACCTTGGTTTGTCTCGGGACGTCCCCCTGGACCTCCACTTGACCTACAAACGCCAGTAAGGGCACATGGCATGGCGTCCGATGTTATACTTAACCAGTCTTGAGGGATTCCCTGTATACCGCGTCATCTTGACCGGAAGAACGGTACGCCCCTTGCCTGCAGTCTTTTCATTCTCTTTATACCAATTTAGTCAATGTTCCCTGAACTACAGTGAACAGATAGTTTCACTAACTTCTCAGAAAAACGAAATACTGTATACCGGATCCTACCACGCATCATCGTACCTTAGTTTAGGAATTCCCAGTGCTCTGAATGTCCAATAACTAGGCGTGTCTATTTTTGTCTACGAGCCCTCGAAGATGTCATTATTTTTTTTACCTTTTGAATGTTTAATGTGAAGTGGTTCATCGACGTCACCCATCTGTGAATATCAGGAAACACATAATTATGCATTACGGTAGACATGACTTCCAGAGAGTTTTGCTGAATGGGATGAATTACCAAGCCTCGTCGACTATCCTAGTCCAGGCGAATTTTGTCAACAATCTACATTTCCCCTTTTGTTTTCAGTATGACTCGCAATATAACACATATAACAAAAGTTTTATGTCTATATACTTTTTAATTACGACTAGAAGTGTACAGCATAATATACATAATCTGGAGAGGAAGAAAGCTTAAAGAAAACATTAATTCGCATACCAACAAGAGGAATTATCAAAGGTACACAACTTTTCAACCACATTTTATGAAACAGGTTACTGGAATACATACCGGGGTTAATTTACAACACCGTGAATATTCTAGATACGAGTAATAGAAGCTCCAAAAGTTGTTGGTAGCGAAAGTCAGAGCGGGGAAGACTAGGGACATCAAAGGGAGAGGGGTAAGAGGAGAGGGCTAGGGAGTAGTACTGTAGTGATCCCCTCCGTCTCTTCTGCTACCACTGCCTGGCAGCCTGCATCCTGCATCATCGCCAGTGTACTACAAGACGCTGCTGGGCGATGGTGGTCAACTTGAATCTCCCTCCGATACACTTGACCCGGTAGTATATTTTCTTCGCATTGAATCTCTCGTTCAGTACATAACTGTACGCAACTATTCCAGCACGCCGGATCTCTATAGTTACCTATTTTATATTAGAGTTTCACGGTGAGGAGAGTACGTATTGTGCTGAAGGGAGATGCATTGACACCGTATACTTCCCTCCTTCACTCGACCTGCCACGTGAGTTGACTGAACTTTATACAGTCTATAAATAACGTGTAAATATTCAACTACTTACTAACGAAACTAGATACAGTTTACACAGTCTTACAAGTACTGCCTGAATGCCGATTTAATCAAAACATCTCAATAATTGTTGTCAAGTGTTTACACTACTTAATGTTCCCACATGTCTAATCAAATTTGAACAGATTTTTTCCTTTTTTTAAAATCTTACTTATTGGTATCCTGACGTGAGTGAATGTTTTTCTGCCTTATAAGTCTTAGCGAAGTCTCTGTATGAGCAAAACGTTTATATGAGTGAATGCCTACCTTTATGAGTAAACATCTGAACTTACGAGTAAACTTGTCCTTGTGAGTAAACATCTGTCCGTATGAGTAAAAGTCTTCTGCGTAAGTGCGCGGTGCTTTATTATGTCTCATGTCTTGTAAGTTAAATGGCACACACACACACACAGTTTGGTACCAGAATCAAAGAAACATTCTCGCTGCAACTTGTTTAATGTATCGTATTCTTCTGATACCTTTCCCTTCTTCGTCTCTCATATATTTACCTACAGAATAATTATTTTAGTCTTCTAAGTCCCTGATCTTCCAAGGGTGGCACATGAAATTTCTCCAGGACTGACCCTTGTGATCTACGGCATCAAGATGACAGCCAATATAGTATATAAATTAATGCTCTTCCACTTTAACATAATTAAATATAATTCTTGATTCTTTGTTGAGAGTAAAAAATGCTGGCAGTAACTGTTAAGACTCCAGATCTGAGGGACAGGTGCCTGTGTTGTTATCAAAGAGGTAGGCTTCAACTCACGTCTACCTGAGTATTTTTATTGCGTCAGCCACTCAGGCGTATATACTCGTCGATGCGTCACACCCTGACCACATTAAACACAAACTACCAGGATTTACAAATGATGTAGAAAGCACAGCTATCATCATATCCGGTTTTGATGCAATTAAACACATCCGTGCTTTGAATGGGAAGATAATCTGTATACCAGTTTTTAGGTCTTTACGCCCCTTACATAGGGACGGCGATCCTCTATACACAGGCACAACCGGCCGTCCTTTTTTTTGTGAAGTAAATCATTAATAAAAAGAAGGAAGAGAGTAGGAAAAAGAACAGATCCCTCGACAACAATTGCCATGGATCGGTTCTCAAGGAAACTAAAAATTAGAGCTTTGGAGATGTCGAGGGCCACGACGAAAGTTTCCCCATAATCCCTGAGAGAGGATGAACAAAGATGGGTGCAGTAGGAGAGCACATCACTAGTAGATCTCGCCTGGCGAAAGCCATACTGGTGATCTGACAATAGAGAATGGCGTCTGCTTCCATTTTATCTTTCTTGTTGTGTCTACTCGCATTGTGTCTGCTCTCGAAATTACTACTATTCCCATTTGGTCTAGGCTAGGTTATAGGACATAGGTTAGGTAAAGTAACTTTCAAAAATCATTAATTGATAGTAGACACTCTGAGAACATGTGACATTTTCAGAGTAGACATAATGGGATTACACGAAATGGGAATTTGGCAGCAGACTAAATGGGTGTCGACAAAATTGGCATACCCGTCACAGGGAGCTACTGATTCAGATCACTCAGTACGCTAGTAGTGGGAAGAATTACCCAAATTACACACGAGTAAGGGAAGTTGTCCGAATCTTTAGGAATTTTAGCAAAGTTAGTATTTTTTATCATGAAGGGGAGATAAGGAAAAAAGTTTGTCTCGGAGAACTACAGAACTATTTTATTATTACTGTGAATTTCTTGTTGTGGAATAAATAGAATGCGAAGTTGTAGTTATTATTATTATTATTATTATTATTATTATTATTATTATTATTATTATTATTATTATTATTATTATTATTATTATTATTATTATTATTATTATTATTATTATTATTATTATTATTATTATTATTATTATTATTTTTAGTAGTAGTAGTAAAAGTAACAATATTGGTAGTGGTAATAGTAGGAGCACAGTATATTCATTGCAATTGATAAGTTCATAAGCACCAGGAAAAACGTGTGGTGGTGGGCGGGATGAAAGTCAACTGTGAACTTGACCTACATTACTGTACAGTATATGATGCACCAGACACCTCGTAAGTGGTTTTTACATCCTTGCTGACTTAGGTGTTGTGTAGAGCGAAGGATCTGTCTGTATAACCTGATATTCTTTTGGTTCTCTAATACTGATGGATATTATAGCCGGCTGTTTATTGGTTTTACGTTATACATTATGGGTTCTAGCCAAACCTGACATATTTCCATGCACAGTGCTTATAGGTTCCTTTCTCGGGGATATCTCGCTTCGACATTCCGTATTTAGTGGTGCTATTTCCTCGTAATTAAGAAATGTGACACTACTAATTAAAAATTAATTTCTTCTCTGCAGGATGTGTAGAACATATTTATTAAGGCGAATCGAAGAAACACGCCACGGATGCTAATTACAGAGCGCCTTTGAGACGTTTCGTTACACTGTTTGTATCTCTCTCTCTCTCTCTCTCTCTCTCTCTCTCTCTCTCTCTTGATGAATGTCCCCTCACGTGACGTTTAATTAATGGAACATTTGCCTTTTACTATGCGTGTGTTAAATCAATTCACCTCTGGTCCTAAACCTGCTCTGTGAAGGTGAATAAGTCACCTCTTTCAGGATAGTTTTTAACTAGTGTCACCATAATTAGCCTTAACCTTAAAATTGGTTGCCGGAGGTAGAGGATATGATTCACAAGTCTTCCCCAGAGGGAGGTGTGTCGCCTGCTTCCTCTAGCGAGGCCGCTAGTCGGCTCTACCTCTCGCTCCTTGTTTTAATGTGTTATTCTTGAGAAAAATAAATAAAAAATAAAAAAAAATATGTCTGAGAAAATTTGCTGCTCTACTAGAAACTGTTCATGTTTAAAAAGACTGGAAGGATTGGTTGTTACGTTACGTTATGGTGGTTGTCGGTGAAATGAGGTAAATACTATGAAGTAATGGAAAGGATCTGTAAGGTTTAATAAAGAAACTAATGAGGTACACTCACAGTAACTATCGAGGATAAGGCTATGCGCTGATTCCCTGACCGTGTTTATTGTTCCAGAAACGAGGGCACTGGATTTGAGGACTTCAAAGCGGAATTTAAATTGTTGTTGTCTGAAATACTTTGAGGCCCAAACATGATAATTTGATTTTTCTTCTTTCCAGGTGTAGTCTCGCACAGTAACTTGTTGAGTTACTCCATCTTCCCTGAGTCGCTGGATGAACCACTGGTGGGTGCAGGACCACCTGTATTACTACCTCAGCCAGAGGAGTGAACCAGTAGTCATCTACCTCATCTCTACGCCCATCTTGTAACGTCATATTTCCCTTGTTGCTGGCACCATGGCGTACGTGGATGAGTTGGTGGATCGCTTCACCTGGATTGATTACATGGTGTTCAACTGCATGCTGTTGGTGTCGGCCGTCATCGGCATTTTTTATGGCTGCTTCAGTAAGAAACAGGATACCAAGGAGTTCTTAATGGCTGGCAAGTCCATGACTGCCTTCCCAGTAGCCATGTCTCTAATCGCCAGGTAAAAATTATCTTCATCTGTTGATCTTCGTCCATCCCCTTACCCTCTCCCTCTCTCCTCCCTCATATCGCTTTTTCACTTTTGGGATTCTGTGTTATATGTATATAAAAGACTAGAGATTGGGAGAGGTGATTTAATCTACACTACAAAACAGGTGATAAAGCATCCAAGAAATGGTAAATAGATGACACGGTAAATGAATCTATTAAAAGTGAAGGAAATATCTTGAATTTATTGACCGTAGAAACTGTTAATGGTTGTTGAAAGAGCGGGTGAATGTCATTGTCTTCCTGAATGAAGGCAAGGGAAATATGAAAGAGTGTAAAAACTGGTAAAAAATAGTCTTCTGGTCATGGTATGTAAAGTGTATGAAAAAAATATTGGTTGATCTTTTAGGAAATATTACAGCTTCACTCACAGGTGAAAAATACAAGACAATTTTGGGAATGGAAGAAGCTGTATTGATCAAGAATTTGCATCAAGACGACTGGCGGAGTGAAAGAGAAGAGAAGAAATTAAATGCTGTTCCTGTACTCAAAGAAAGTGTATGCCAGAGTAAGTAAGAGGACTCGGTGGGAAGTGTGTGGAGTAAGAGGAAGCTTAATGAATGCTGTCATCAGTTTGATGATGGAAGCATCGCGCATGTGTGTGTGTTTGACGGGTGTGTGTGTGTGTGTGTGTGTGTGTGTGTGTGTGTGTGTGTGTGTGTGGCGTGGACTAAATGAAAGAGTGTGTCAGGAGCGTGTGATGTTACCTTAGTTTATTAATGTATTTATGGATGATGAACTGGTTATGGCAATATATATTCTCTTATGTCATGACAGCTTCATGTCGGCCATCACGCTGTTGGGGATGCCGTCGGAAGTGTACCAGTTCGGGTTCCTCTACTGGCTCATCGGGTTCTCTTATATACTTATGACGCCCTCTGCTGCCTACCTCTACTTCCCGGTCTTTTACAAGCTCCAGGTACACACTTCTTGCCTATGCTATAAATTCTGATATTTGTCTTAGTAGTCAGTGAAAAATGGTGAATACGTCAGAATAACTCATCTACAGTGTATTTCCATGCTACAGATGTTGCGGCAGAGGTGAGTCTTGTCTGGACTTGTTTGGTGTTAATTGTGAAAGTTATGGCTTAATGTCCTGAGAAAATGTAACTCATGAAAGAGAGGTCGACCCACTGGTTGTGGCCACTACCTGATACCGAGTTTCTCCTGCAGGTCACCTCCGCCTACGAGTACCTGGAGAGGAGGTTCCACAGGTCGGTACGTTGGCTCGGCTCCTTCGTGTTTATTATCCAGGTGAGTAGTAGAGGTGGTGATGGACTAGGGAGAAGAGGTGTGGGGGGTCAGAGGGACAGACGAAGGTTGTTATTGGCCCTTCTCAAGTTGTGAAGTATTACACTTAATATTAGAGATTTGATGCACAAATAGAAGTACAAGAACACGTTTAGAATCGCCGAAAGAATCTTTCGCTTCGCGAACCACCCATTGTTTGAGAACCACTGTAGCCTAGAGTGTCCACCTGACAGATTTCCATCCCAGCTCTCTCCAACTAATTTAATCTGTATGTAGTAGGTATTAGGCAGCTACAAAACAGGGAGGTACTACCGCCTGGGAAGATATTGGAAGCATAATGTGTTGTCTATAGTAGACCCTGCTGCCTTATGGCATCACAAAAATTGTGACCAAGTCTCAGGTTGCTGATCTGACTTTCTGCCTCATTTACACACAATTGCAGGATCTCAATTGTTTCACTTACTATTGACAAGACAACATATATACTGTTTCTCACTTTTGATCTTTTTTTTAATTTTTGCATTTCTTTATGGTTCTTTATTATTATTATTATTATTATTATTATTATTATTATTATTATTATTATTATTATTATTATTATTACATGTTCGCCCCCCAGGCCCTGATTTGGGTCAGTGACCTGTGCCGGGGTGGGCTAATCCCCGTAAAAAAAAAAAAAAAAACCTAACCTCAGGTCGCAGTCTACCTATACTAACAAGCCTGTTATGTGTACAGATGACGCTGTACATGGCCATCGTGGTGTACGCCCCAGCCCTCGCACTAGAACAGGTCACCGGCCTTAACGTCTACATCTCCGTCTCCCTCATCTGCTTCGTCTGCATCTTCTACACTACACTCGGCGGCATGAAGGCGGTGCTCTGGACCGATGCTCTCCAGGTGAGTCGCCTTCATCATATTTATAAGTTTGAGGGTCATTTTCAGGCGGTGATATATATTTCGACCCTAAGATAGACAGATAGCAATGAAGATGAACATGTAGATGAAAAGACATCTAAAGAAAACATGTCTATAGATAGGTATCGATAATTAAGCTGTAAGAAAAAAAATGAGTGTACTCTACATTCACTTGTAAATAGCGAGACAAACAGATACAAAGATAGAGATTAAAAATGTGAGATTAGCGAATAATGACGGTCTTGCCCCCAGACGCTCATCATGTATGGGAGTATGATGTTCGTCATCATCAAGGGCGCCATCGACATTGGCGGCTTCGATGTTGTGTGGCAGAGAAATGCAGACAGCGGCCGAGCTCAGCTGATTGACTTCGACCCTGACCCGACCACCCGCCACACCTTCTGGACCCTTGTCATCGGAGGTTATTTCACCTGGATCACCATCTACGGTGTTAACCAGGCACAGGTACAGTGTTGGATCAGTGGTGGAGGTGTTCTCTCTTGTTGCGTAGGCAATGTTTGTCAGTTTGTCCCAATAAAGGGATCGGCTTTCCACTAACCGAGTATCGTTACATACTAAAATTAATATTTCTGTAGAGTTATATATCTGAACAGCATGGCTTTATTTTAATTACATATTTTTTTAAGTACATTGTCTAATTGTAGTTGGACTTCACTACTTTTTCTGGGTGCAATATTGACTAACAGACAAACAACATCTAGAAGACAGACAGCATTAAGTTTCCTACCATAACTTTTCTCTTAGAAACACCATAGAAAGTCTCTTCACTATATAATACAATATTTATGAGAATGTTTAAACTAAATTTTGATCTACACTGCTCAGATTCAGCGATACCTCAGCGTTCAGACTAAACAGATGGCCGTCAATGCGCTGTGGATCAACTTTGTGGGACTGTTTATACTGATGCTCACCTGCTGCTTCGGTGGGATGGTTGTGTACGCCAATTACCACGACTGTGACCCCATCCGCTCAGGTGTGGTTGACAAGGGAGACCAGCTGTTCCCGCTCTTCGTTATGGATACCCTTGGCCAATGGAGAGGTCTCCCAGGACTCTTCGTTGCTGGTGTATTTTCCGGGGCTTTAAGGTAATGCTGCTTTGCCTGTATATATTAAAATTATGGCTGAATTTTAATAATCTTTTTTTATCTCATGACAAAAACTTTCTCAGGAATTTATACAAACAATTCTTATTGTTATCTGAGGAACTGAAGAATTATAAAAGCAACAGACGTCCAGGAAAACAGACCAAAGGAGGTTCTGTTCCAGATTTGTCTGGGAAAGTCTCCACATACTGAATCATTTATATATACAGCACCTTTAACTAAATTACGTAGTGCTCAACAGATCATGTGAAAATTTACATTTGTAATGCCAACAGCACCGTGTCTTCCGGAATGAACTCCTTAGCGGCCATCGTGTTGGAGGACTTTATCAAGGCCGGCTGTTATCCCAACATCTCTGAAAACGCTGCCACCTGGACTTCCAGAGCACTCTCACTCTTCTTCGGTCTGCTCACTTTTGCACTCGTCTTCGTAGCAGAACAACTCGGCAACATTTTAAATGTAAACATACTTTTAATTTGTTCTACTAGCACTCCTTTTGCAAAAGAGTATTTATAGATTATCTTATAACCACTGAACCTTCGATAAATTGGCATGCTATTCTTCCGGTCTTGCTGAAATAGTAAATATGCCGATTTTTCGCACACTTTCAAACTTAAAGTGCTCTCTGAGAGTCCATTGTGAGTTTACGAGTCATATATATATATATATATATATATATATATATATATATATATATATATATATATATATATATATATATATATATATATATATATATATATATATATATATATATATATATATATATATATATATATATATATATATATATATATATATATATATATATATATATATATATATATATATATATATATACACACACACACACACACAAGGCGTCCCGAAAGTCTCTCTCCGGTTTTAAATATTTAGAATTAAAAAACCAAAGGGGATATAATAATACAGTTTGCTGCATCATATTCCATAGTTAATCGAGTTTTTTCTTTGCAGGTGCAATTAAACGACCTCGACATGTTTTGTGACTCTAAGCACATCCAGCCGATACGCGATTTCTCTCCAAGTGTTGGCTAGCATATCTGATGTTACCATGCCTATTGCATCGGTTATTCGTTGACGTTGGATTGCAACATTGGGTACAGGTGTTTTGTAGACACAATCCTTTACATAACCCCACAAGAAAAAATCTACCATTAAGCTCCAGTGTGGAGGCACCTCATCTTGCTGAATGATCACACTTGGTTGCAAATCATCCAATTGGGGGTCTACATAATTGTCTAAGACATCGAGATGGACATTGTCCGTGACGTTTTTATCGACAAGGAAGAATGGGCCTATCACACGATCATGAGTACATTATGGCGGTTGACACGTCCACACACATGGAAAGTTGCTTCGTCGATGAACATCACTTTGTCTTGGTAGTTGTGGTTCTCTGAAATTTACTCCAACATTAAGCATGCAAACTCATAACGTCAAGGTTTATCGTCCAGCTCTAATGCTTGGACTATTTGCACTTTAAAAGCATGCAATTTCAGTATTTTATGGAGTACTCGGTGTACGGATGTCTTAGGTAGATGAAGCTCCATTGATTCAGCGCGAACAGACTTTCTGGAACTTCGTTGGACTGCTTCCTGAACAGATTCAATGGACTCTTCAGACATCCTTGGGCGTCCACTTCGGGGCAAGTCACAAACGCTGCCTGTTTCCAGAAAGAAACCTGCCCTAATGCTGGGTTTGAGGGTGGCTCTTTACCATACCTCTGGCGGTATTGTCTTTGCACTGTTGTCACTGATTTGCTCTCTGCAAACCAGACAACACATTGCGCTTTCTCTTGATTAGACGCCATTGTTACGCCTTATCTTCTCCACCAAGATAATACCTCTCAAATCCACTGCACCTGTAAGGAAAAAAACTCGATTAACTAAGGAATATGATGCAGCAAATTTTATTACTATATCCCTTTTGTTTTTTTAGTAATAAATATTCCAAACCGGAAAGAGCATTACTTTTCTGGTTGCATATATAGAGAGCAGCTGTGTGCTGACGAATTAAGAACACTAACAAACAATAGAGCCTCTGTGTCGTGTACACCTACAGTAGAACCTCGTAATGAAGCTCTCAAATATTTGTTTATCTGTATTTGTTACATACAAACACAATTTAAAGTCATTTTTTCATTTTGTGCTCCGCTTTTCTACCAGAACCCTGTTAAGAGTATCATTGTACCACCATTTCCACCACACTGAGTAATCTATGTTCTATCTCAGGCGGCGCTCAGCATCTTTGGTATGGTCGGAGGGCCTCTGCTGGGAGTCTTCACCCTCGGCATGTTCTTCCCCTGGGCCAACTCCACCGTAAGTTTTTGTTTTCCTATTTGTCATATATCATAGTCACATTCACATCTCTTTAATAATTAGTGAAAATTCGGTGATAGAGAAACAGTGTAAATGGGTTCTATAGGCTTGACAGCCCTTTAGGGCAGGTGAGCTTGCAGCACATCGTATTTCATGATTTCGGAACACAAGGAGGCAGTTTGGTCGACACAGCATTCGAACGCCATTACCCTCTAAATGTTTGAGCTAGGTGGCCATTTACATTTGTTGTGCATCACGGATAAAGCATCCATTTACTGTCATTCATCCAACAGGGAGCCTTCGTTGGTGAGGTGGTCAGCTTGGTCTTCATGTTCTGGATCGGAATCGGTCATCAGGTGGCCAAAGCTTCGGGTCAGATACACTTGCCTTCCCTGCCCACGAGTATTGATGGGTGCAACTTCACCATCGCTGAACCGTCCTTCACCCCTCTTATGTAAGTAGGCTTGTATTACTTTTCTGCATATTTATTTGATTATATATGTCACACATAGTTGGTTAAGGTTAGGCATATTAATATTAGAATAACAAGTCATAACGGAATCTTATTAGAGACCATCTTGCATATACAATACTGTACTCTTGATCAGCGAAGCTTTTTAGCAATAACAATATCATGGGTCAGGGGATTTTACTTATCCACCATTTAAAGTTTTGAACGTGGGCAGGTCCTCAATTCAATTTCAATTTCAATTGTTTATTCCTTGATAGAGGAAGCGGGATCCTAGTGCTGTCACTAGGTACCCCTGTACTATGACACCAGAAGCATCTGGCAAGTGTGACAAGTATATACAGTATAAATATTATAAAGGGGCTTACTAAAGCCTAAGGAAGGAAGGATATTCCTTTAACACATAGTCAATGTTATTTACAAAATATCTGGCCAGTATGGGGAGGATCATCGTGTCTCCGTCAGGGGGTCGTGGAGTGGTGGTCCAGCAGGCGTCACGGAAGCGTTGTGTGTGGGGACATCTTAGGAGGGGCAGGTCCTCTGCTAAAGTGAAGCATCACTGACATCTATATCACAGCTCATTTTTAACTTTTTTCTTCTTAAGGTTAAGCATATATTGAACCTATACATGATGTTTGTACAATTCCGTTAGATCAGCATCACTTAAAGCATTATGAAAACTGGTTAACACATTACTAGAAATAGGCAAAGGATATGTTGTAAAGACAGAAGTAATAATTGCTTCTAAATTTAAAACAAATTCTTATAGAATATTCTTTTGCAAAGGGGAACTTAAAAACAGATGAAAGCTTTTGTAAATATGGTAAATACTGTAATAGCCTTTTCCAATCATAAATTCGTACATTATAGCGTGGGCTTGCCGATGGCAGAACAACCATTTGGTGGATTAGCATCCTGCCAAGTGGGTGGGGAATCACTTGCTGCTGAATGCTTAGAATCAGATAAATACCTAACCTGTTACCCTGCATCATATCAAGAAAACGCTTGTGCATGAAAAACGTTATGACCACAATTTAACCTGTCCACAGTGAGAGTGATCCTGGTGAGCCTCTGGCCATATACCGCCTGTCATACATGTGGTATTCTGCCACGGGCTGCTTCACCGTGATCGTGGTGGGTATGCTGGTGACGCTGGTGACTGGCAAGCAAGACGTAAGGGCCCTCGACCCTCGTTGCCTCTCTCCTGCTGTCTTGTGGCTCAAGAACTGGATACCAGGACTGGACGGTCTTGGAGAAGACTATGTGAGTATTGGGTTGTTGACTCAATTGGTGTTTAAATGCTTCCCACATTATATCTATATTTTTAATTTCCTTTGATTTTGTCTGTTTACTATTCTTTTGTGTATAATATATCTAGAAAAGGGCGAATATTGGAGAAAAGTTTGCACAATACAGTAAAGCTAATTACTGTGGACAAATGTGCCCGTATTTCCTGAGAATATTCAGAAGTGAGACTATACTGTAGACCATTCAACGTTTTTCTTATGCGAGATGTCCCGCTCCCTACAGCTGATTGGTTGCCTTATTTCAGCGGAATTTGGGAAAATTACAACACCTGCTCATTTCAGTAATATTTCTTCAGATTCAGCAGTTTATCTAATTTAAAACATTCAATCCTCATCTGGATAAATTTGTAACCCCTGGACCCATTACATTCTGTTTCTATTTTGTTGTACCTCAGTAAATTTTGCAGGAGTTTAATATGAGAAAAAAAATATTTTATCAGTTGCGACATAACAAACGTTTTATATTCTGAACACATTTAATTTTTGTGTTCTTGAATGCAAACTTATACAGTAGCTTATATGTAAACAGGCAACAGTTAGTATATGATGTTAATGATTGAGAGAACCTTTACAGCCTAACCATAAGTTTCTAAATCAAGTTATATTTTATTTCTAGGAGAGTAAAATTTTTGCCATACAGTATAGATTGTGTAGTTTCTAAGTTCATTGCTAATTATATTTCTGTCTTTGTAGGAAAATGAGGAAGAGGGACTGAAAGAAAACAAGAGCTCTAGTTCCCTTGGCACCACCAACTTTGCTTTTAAGACAGTATTATCTACAAAATCACTCATTGGACATTCCTCTGATAGTTCAAAGGTGTAAGACATGACTCACTATTAGCTGCCAAGGATCAAGTATCAACACAATACATATCAAACAATTTATGAAACAGCCTTAAATATTTGAGATGTAAGTGAGTATGGCTTACAGTTTATGTAGGCAGTAGAATAATTTAATGACACTGCCTGTGAAGTGGACTGCTGTAGTAAGGTACACAGTTGATTGTTTCGTTGTAAGAAACCCACATGAAAATATATTTATTGCTTCATTATCTGACATGAAAACCGTACATCAATACACAGTGCACAGATTTGTAATTTGATTATTTATAACTAATTAAACCCTGATAGATTGTTGCACACGTGAACAAAATCCAATTTGATCACGACACGTTGCCTGTTAAGATTCTTGAACAGTATAACCTATATTGCTGGGTAGTAAGGTAATAAGTTAATTTTTATTAGACTTTAATATTTCCGGTATTTATCACTTTCTTTATAAGTACTGTACAACAAAGCTTTTATTTAAACTATACACATAGCTAGTAAGACGTTTGCGGTAAATGTTCTATGTATTTTTATGATGAAAGTCTTTAGCATATACGTCACACTCTTGTCTTGCAAAACAGTTTAGTGTGTTATCACTGTATTTGATGTCAGTTAATATTGCAGAGAACATTATTTTACCATATGTAGTTATTGAAGTTATTGTTGATCTACCTAAACTTATTTATTCTATCCATATTTATTAACAATAGATAATAGTTGATGTTAAAAAGTAATGACATTATTATATCTTTTTGTTATCATTATATAATCTATATATTTTAGAATTACATAATGTATTTGAAAATCATAGGTACTATTTTTGCTGTAAGCAAAACTTCTATGGGAGATAAGTATGAATTTTATCCTAATTTAATTCTCATGTTTCTAAGAATTGTACAAAACAGCTTGGTAAGACAACGTCATTCTTTTGTTGAACAATTGGATTGCTAAAAGCACTCGTAATTTTTTTTAGAATTTTCCATTAGAGTATCGTAACCTTTCTGGCACCCATGGAAGGCGCAGTTGGTCCGAATATTTAATGAATAAAACTGAAAATTAAAATCTGGCAGCGGAAACAAAACCCTGGTATGCAATGTGGTGACGTTTTCTTGGCTAAGACAACCACGTGTGTACCCATTTCACTGATGTATTCGGAAACATTTTAACTCCTGAGTGAAATACGTGCATTATATATACAGTATATATTAGTGTGACAGTAGGTATTTGATGATGAACGCTATTGTCGTCTTTATTAACACACTCATCATTCTGTCACTTTATGTAACTTGCTGACAAAACCCATGACCCTTCAGGCTTCCACGCCCTTAATACATGTGTATATGTATGCATATATATATATATATATATATATATATATATATATATATATATATATATATATATATATATATATATATATATATATATATATATATATATATATATATATATATATATATACTGTTAATGAATATGATGTATTTCTTTGTGTATGAACCTCTGTCCTGCGTGGCAGTGAGAAGTGCTACCACCCTCAGTGTCAAGACCTGACTGAATTACTCAGAGTAGGTAAACTGCACTCCAAGCTTTGTCAATAAATTTGTTAAACTAAAAAACTATGGATTTTTGGCGTCGGGTTCGAAATGAGTGATTTTATTTTCAACTTTTTTAAAGATAAAACCAAATGCTTTTCCAAGAGGCAAACCAATAAATTTTACGGAGCGTGTGATTCCCTCACTTTCAAAACAACTTCTTGTTAGCCCTCAGTATTTCAAGCTAGTGTAAAATAAAACTGTCAACACTGGGACTACTAAGTATTAGTGGAAAGTTCCCGGAAAAACAAAGGCTTGAGGTCGACAGGGTTAGAGGAAATGGGAGGGGGAGGGGCATGAGAGTGGCCGTGGTCCTCTTCAGCCGACACTGACGCCTCACCTGGCTCACCACCAAGTCGCCAGTTTGTTACCTGACGCGTCCAGTTGAAGGTGGCTTGTGTGGAAAGTCCCACTGTGCGCCTGGCCCAAAGAGTGTTGTACGCATCACACAACTGCTGTTTACAGTAGTTTTTCCCGTGTTTATCCCCTGTGTTTACTAAACAACACGAAACTAACGTTATAGCTTCTCGAATTTCGTGTTTGTATGTGTTGGAAGCGATGTGGTGATACCATACCTTCCAGCCATACCTCGCTGTACCCACCTAACTACACGACCCTTCACGTGAGTCAGCTTACTGTATATAATATTTGTGAGTAGTCTGAATGATGTGTAAATGTTTACCCGCTTATTCTTGTGGTGTTAATACTGCCCTAATGCTCCTTCGATTGATATTGACTCAACATTTAAGTATCTATGCATCTTTTATGAAATGTAAATGGAAAATTTAGCATATGAAATTATTATATCCATGATAGATTGTTAAACGAGTTGATTTCCATATAATTTTTAACAAAATCCATGAAGCCCGAACTCCTACCAGATGAAACTAAAGTGGTAGATTGTGCTGCATTTACAACGCGAACAGATTCTTCTTTTTAATAAGGCAGAGTGTTAGCCTATGTTGCCTAGTGTACCCTGAGAAAACGGACCAGTAAAGGCGTAGTGTAACTTGGTTTTTCCTTCACGTTAATCCATCTTTCTATCCTGGCGTTTGATAACACGTTTTGGTGGCATAATGCTGACAGTGGTTCTAGTTCACTGGATGTTGAGGTCGTGGGAAACATCTGTGTTTTAGTGTGCCTCTCCAATTCACACAATATTTATGGTTATTAATGGTAAGGGTTTTGTTCAAATAATCTCTCTTAAATATATGTTGAGGTGAGTAGATTCAACGATAAATTAATTTCCGTCTCTCGTGTTCATGTGTTGATGGGTGAAGGCATTTAAATCTACCGGAGTGATAGAGACCAATAAGATAATCTTCAACATACAATCCAGAATCTTTTTATTTTTTTTAATACGGGTGATCTATTTGTTAAAAAATATATGATATTTGATTTGAAGCTGCTCTTCACGGCACATTTCTTAACTTACGAAATGGCCATGACTTAGACCATAAAAAAACAATACTTAAAACTTACCTGAATGTGGCATTTGGGGTCTGAAGAGGTCACCCTTTCTGCTATCTCCGACTGCAGCGATAATTTTGAAACGAGTGACGCCATTGCAATAAACTTAGCTCGAATATTATAGCAGGACTTTAAACTTCATTACAAATTATATATACCGTATCACTCTAAGAACGAGGCAGAGTGTATTTCTTGTGTTTTCCCAGAACCGTCAACTCGTCCATTCTTCTTGTTGAATGTACAGTCCCCTTCACTAGTGTGTTTTCAGGGGCTCATCAGCTTTTTTGCAGTGTTGCAGCCGTGTGTTTGTTTATATTCGACAGAAGGGAACTAACAATTGTAAACATACTATGGAATAAAATTAAAACAATATTAAAACAAATATCTCAATGATAATGATTTGTGGAATGTTTTTAAAAGGAGCCTCTGTTAACGCACTAGTGAAGGGGACTGTACATAGTCAGCGGAGGAATACAAACAGTGTAAACAGTTAATAGATTCTTGCAGAGATAACTCAACAAAACCATCATAAGCTTATTTCCATTGGTACGTTAGGGGACAGCGGAGGACGGGTGAGCTGAATCTATGTGTGTGTGTGTGTGCGGTGCTGGGGAAATCATGTTATAGGGTGTTTGCCTAGATAAACATTTTTTGTATCTTTACGGTGGCTGGTCGTTTCATCTTTCGGTTTCTTATTACTAAGTCACTACAACAAGAGGGATGATAACTAAATGGTTCTGCTGCTACTTCTTGGTAACTGTTCCTCATTTTATTACGCACAACAGATGTCGGTAGCAGCGCGCAACACAGGAACTTTGCTCTGTCGCCCAGATTTCCGGCTTCACCTTCACAGTAGTTGCTGCTATTGGAGTACCCCAGTAGTGTCACCAGGAAACATTTGTTCGTACACACACACACACACACACACACACACACACACAGGGTACATTACTTACATATTTTGGTTGCCCTTCGTGTCAGAGGCTGGATGATCCCAGGGTCACCTAGGCGTGAATTTTACTTATTTAATTTAAAGGCGTAGAAGCTGTCGCCAACACAGCAACCACACTCTGTTAACTAGTTATATAACCCAGTGCCAAGGAATAGTCCAAGAAGACCGGACAATTCGCTAACTGCACTGGCTTACCATTACCCTGGACCACGATCCGTAAATCGATTAACTTTCAGGTTTCCAATTACTGCTGGGTAAACAGAGGCAAATGGCATAAAGCTACTTACAAGGCGAGCGTGTTGATCATTACGTCACGTGTATGTGTGTCAGGGTGGCAGTTTCTTCCTGCCATTATATGACTCAAAACAAAGAAATTTTACATTTATAGAAGTACGAGCATTCTTTTCACGTTTCCCGCAGCAGGAATTATAATAGAGCTCCGAGGATAACACAAAAGTTAAGATATTTAGTAGTAGTAGTAGTAGTAGTAGTACAATATATTCATTATAATTGTTAGGTTCACAAGCACCAGGGGAAACGTGTGGTGGTGGGCGGGATGAAAGTCAACTGTGAACTTGACCTACTGTATAATATGATGTACCAGACACCTCGTAAGTGGTTTCTACATCCTTGCTGACTTAGGTGTTGTGTAGAGCGGATTTTCTTTTGGTTCTCTAATACTGATGGATATTATAGCCGGCTGTCTATTGATTTTACGATGTACATTATGGGTTCTAGCCAAACCTGACATATTTCCATGCCCAGTGCTTATTCCTTTCTCGCTTCATCAGCCTGTATATGGAGGGCCTATAGCCTAGTTCCTTGACCTTAATAAATATGACATTTTAGATTCAAACTGAGTTGCATCTCTGCAAGATGCATGTTATATCTTTATCAGTGTTAATCAAATAAACATGTCACGGAAGTTGATTACAGAGTTCCCCTGAGACATACTGGTGTTGGTATTTCCGATATCTCTCTCTCTCACGCACTTGATGATTACACCATTACCTGACATTTAATTAATGGAACATTTGCCCATTACTGGGCGTGTGTTAAATCAATCCACCTCTGGTACTAAACCTCTTTCAGGATTGAGTTTATCTAGTCTCACCATAATTAGCCTTAACCTTAAAGTTTGATGCAGGAGGTAGAGGATATAATTCACAAGTCTTCCCCAGAAGGAGTTGTGTGTTGTCTGTTTCCTCTAACGAGGCCGCCGCTGGTCGCTGGCCATGATGGGCAACTAATGCACTTCCTTGGTGCCTGGACAACATTGACCTGAGAATTTGAGTCTTGCTTATTATGTTTTATGAGTATGTTGACTCGTTTTATTTGTATATGTGTGATGATTTTTGTTGACTTGTTTCAGAGTGTATGTTTGAGTGTTTGCTATTGTTATTGTATTTACCATATATCGGCAGTGAAAATGTACACTTAGTACATCTAAGTTTCCAACGATAAACTACAGTATTAGAAATTTTAAATTCTATGTAAACGAATAATGACAATGTGGAGGTCTTTGAGTTTACCTCTACCGCGCCTCCACAGAGAATATTTGTGGACTTGGTGATATGTTTTCTATGATTCATTACCACGCCCTGAGAAAGGACGAGTTGGCGGTTTTGGGCAAACACAAGAAATACATTGCCACGTTCGTAGAGTGATACGGTATGTATAATTTGTAATAAAAGTTTAAAGCCCTGCTATAATAGTCGAGATAACTTTGTAGGGGTATCGAGATATTAATGTTGTCTAGCACTCAGGATGGAAGGAAACTCTAATGTGGTTTTCTTGTATAATATAAGTTATATGATAGACAGTCTGGTGCTGGAGGTGCCGTATGGTGAGGGGCTGCTCAGTGGAGACGTTCTGTGAGTAGCGTGTTGAAGGAGGTAGATGTGCAGGAGCTTCGTTAGAGAAGATGTTGCCTGTTGCTGGCCTCCTGGTTGAATGAATGGTGACAGCGTGGAGCTTGCTGGAGGAGGTGTTGCTTGTTCAGGAAGACGGGCAGAATGAGAGTTGGTTGGTGAGGAAGCTCAGAGAAGGACAGCTGGTGGGTCGCCATGCTCGCTGGCGGGAGCGAGGACCGCCAGGCAGGCGAGGAGGAGCGAAGGCAGCCAGGCAGCGGCGGAGGAGGAGGTGTTGCTTGTTCAAGAAGAATGGTCAGAATGAATCTCAATGGAGAGACAGAGCTTATATACCCAGCAGCAGCCGCCAGTCCTCTATGAATCATGTTGGGAAAACCCAGAAAGTCGCCGGTGACTAGTTCCGTTGCTAAGATACGGTAACATCTGGTTGGTTGCTAGGGAAGGCGGTAGCAGGTGGTGGCTGTGGCTACGCAGTTGTAGGGGAGACGTCCACTACAACTTCATTTCTCTAGAAACAGAACCGACATTTACAATGACGTCACTAGTTTCAAACACCTCTGGGCTGCAGTCGTAGGTAGTAGAAAGGATGCCCTCCTCAGACCCCAAATTCCACGTTCAGGTAAATTTTAAGGATATTTTTTTATGGTCAATTCATGCATATTTCGTAACTGAAGAAATATGCCGTGAAGACCAACTTCAAACATAGGTTGGATGGATATATGAGCGATTGGGGTTGAGTGTAAATGGGCCTGCCGCAGTTTCCTCCATTCTTATGTTCTTTTACTTTTATCCTCTTCACCACTCATCGACTCGTTAGCTGCTTGGGCGATCGGTCTCGTCTCTGTTACTTTTCCTTTTCTTTTATCCTCTTCACCAAATGTTGGACTCGCTAGCCGGTTGGGTGATCGGTCACGTCTCTGTTACGCACTGTTGGCAAGTACTGGGCATGCGCCGGCTCCTGAATGTACCTGAACCTGCTCCAGTGTTGGTCAAGTCTTGTCTTGAAAGAGCTCACACTCGGTGCCATCACAACACTTTCTGGTAGATTGTTCCAAGAGTTCACAACTCTCACTCCAAAAAAGTTTGCCCTCACAGTTTCCTGGACTTGCGGCTTCTTCAATCTTGAACTGTGGCCCCTTGTGGGGCGAGCGTCCGCCAGCTCCAAGTAAGGACACTCGACTGAGTAGTGCCCCTTGAGATGCTTATACACCTCAATTAGTTCACCCCTTGCCCGTCTGTAGTCAAGGCTAGTTCAGGCGCTCCAATCTCTCAGGGTAGCTGAGGTACCGAAGGGCAGGTACCAGTCTGGTGGCCCTCTTTTGAACATTT